CATGTCGTGCCTCTGACCTGCCGGAAGGAGAATCTGGACTTGACTCTCTTCTCTGCCACGTCCAGGACGTTGAGGTTGACCGAAAGGCCCACCACAGCAGCGCAAATGGTCTTATCCTGGTGGTAGGGTATCGTGGGGAGAGCGTTCGGGGAAGGGGTCTTATCCCGATGGGGGCGTTCTGGGGAAAATGCTCGTATTGTACAAATGGGAGAGAGTCGTATCCTGTGGGTTGTTCGTCTTGTGTGACTGGGAGGGCGTCTTATCCTGGGGAGCTATTTTCGTCTGATGAAAAGCGGGGGCGGGGGGTCTTGTCCTGTTTCGGGGAGGAATATTCGTTTAATGTAATCCGGAGGCCGGAGGGGTTATCGTGATCGTGGTGGGGGGCTGTGGGGAGCATGGTCGTCTTATTAAAAGGGGAGGCGGTCGGCCAACGAACGGTACAAGGGTTAAATAAATCATGACGACAGTTGGGTGTAGATCGAATGATTATTGTGAGTGTAAATATATGGCGCCATCCAAGGCGCGGTCGATCTAAACGAGACTGGTTGCCACCCAAAGGGTCGTGTCTCTTGGGCATGAAAAACAACTGGGGGAAAGGTGGGGTGCGACGATAAACTAAATAGAAACACCGAGAGTCCAACGATCCAGCTGTGCGAGCTGCAAAAAAGGGCCACCAAAGGAGACTTTTCTATACCGATCACCGGCCCCATTTCACCAGGAACAAAAAAAAAAAAACAAGACGCGCGGACATATGTACCAACCGACGTCGGCTAAGAATGGCAAAAGAGTGGCGACAACCGCCGCCGCCGAATCTAAAAGAAGCACGTGTGAGTAATCTCACTCGTGCGCTGGCGCTGATAAGATGATCTCCGTTAACAAAACGACAAAAATAGCACACATGGGACACCCGACAGCACCAAAAAACGAGGATTAGGTGCATGGCGGGGAAGCCTGTGTGATGATATTCTCCTTGGCTTCGCGTTGCTCGCAGGCTCTCACAAGTCTATGGTTTTGCAGTTCCAACTGTAGGTCCGCGATCCTGCGGCAACAAACACAAGATCAGTGGCACAGCTGGATCATTCCGGTGCGATAGTACACAGCAGTGATCGTCGAAGACGTGGACGAGCCCCATATACATTGCGATCGAAATGTAGTAGGAAGCAGCGAGAATCTACCCTCCACCACTTGATACACCGAAACGAGCAGCAGAACGAAAGGATCATCGGCCGAGCGCCAGCAGCAACCAAGTACGAACTGCAGCGTGACATCCTTGACGAACGTACCTGACACAAGTCCAGCAAAGCGTAGAGCAGCGTCTGAGGCTTCCGGCAGGCGAAACGCTCGAACTCATCTAGAATGAAAATCACGGGCACTCCGTTAACTGCGCCCGTCTTCATCGAGTCTACCATCATCGCGAGGTTGCTGTCGAAAGGGGGTCGAGAACAAGCCGGGGGCAGGGGTAGCGAGAGCGCGCAGGGGGGGGGGGGGGG